AAGTACAGGAAAGGAGAAAGCTGGCTGAGGCTTGCTCAACTCTCATACAGAGCAAAAAGGGGCGGGTCAATGTAAAAATGCATGTGAGGAATGCTTGAAACTACTACACTATCAGGTCCAGACAATAACATGCTTACATTAATATTTATTTCACAGAACAACAGATGGGTTTTTCTTTTTGAACATCTTGATTATTCGTCCACTGATCTGGTCAGGTTTGTTTTGACCATGTGTCTGTCTCTCTGTCCCCTCAGACCTGCCAGGTAGATCTGAGGTTTGGGCACGTTACTCTCACCATCTCTCTTGCTCTGACAGGCAGCATTCTTTGGCAGCCAGGTTTGAGTGGTGTTTTCCCGTCTCATGTGGCTCAGATGAGTCTGCGTTGAGTGTGTCACTTTGGTCCTGATATCAGCCTACAATTATGAGATACAAAAAAAGGTGCATTGATATTAAATTAACAAGACTCTACATGTCAGAAGTTAAATCTTCCTTAAACTACACAGTGACTATGATTCATCACATGGAAATGCATCTAGTAAATTCTGGCTCACCAGTTGGAGAGCTTTTCTTCTCAGCTCCCACTCATTCCACTCGTATGACTTGACGATCTTTGTCTCCACTGGGTGGATGTCAGTCTGTGTGCCGCTCTCACACACAGTAATAGGCTTCACCAGTAAACTCTCTCCTAGCTGCATCTGCAAAACCACAAGGCAACAAAAGTGGAAGTTTCTGGGCAGGCAGCAGTGTGCAGTGCTGTCAGCTATTCATTGAATCAATGAATGAAACTATATACGTATGAGTTTAATAAATGTATTCTGAGTGATCTGCACTTCTATTGTAGATCCAAAATATGCAACTGAAGTATGTGCTTTGACGTGGACAGAGCTGCTGACCTCAGAGTAAGGACTGACGCAGGAAAACTGTTGGTGGAGTTTAAGGAGCTGAATCAGTTCAGGGGAGTACTTGGCTTTCTCTGCCACCTCGTCGATGAAGTCGTCCGGAGTGGAGGCAAATTTCAAGGCAGCTTCTTTGGAGCTAAAAACATAGAGCTTCTCTTTGTGCTTGAGGACTCCAATGTGTGGATTGCCTGCAAAAGAAGTGTTGAATATTCCAAACTGAATGCACTTAAGATGCTCATCATATCGTATCCCATTAAACAGAATGCATGTATAGAGAAAGACTAAAGACTGGACTTTTCCTAAAATTCAGTCATATATATGAAGTTACAGTATTGGATGTTGATATTAAAGCTGCAGTAGGTAACTTTTATGAAAACTACTTTTTGTCATCAAGTCTTTAACTTCCAAGTCCAAGTTGAGTCTCAAGTCATTTATTTTCTGTCAGGTTGCTAGTTGTCAATACAGTGACTCAAGCAAGCATGTTGAGGCTTGAATTACAAAAAGAAGGAATTCAAATGTCTTTCCCAGTACCTGGAAGTAGAAGCCCATCTTTGTTCACAAGTGTGTAGCCACAGACCCCATCATATTGTAACGGCAGCTCACTAAAGCAGGCTGTTGTTTCAGGCAGGAGCCATTCCTGTGTCTTCATCTTAGCTGGAACAATACGCTCATCTGAAAGGCATAATGAATAAAAACAACTGCATTTAAGCTCAGTTCAGAGCTGTTCTCTCTCGAGTCCTGTTTTGTGAGACTTGTGGAACATGGAATTCATTACTGTATTCATTAGAGGCTTGCAGTATCTGTTCATCAGCCGTACCTGAGGACTCATTCATTCTCTGTTCATCTGTCTTCACCTCTGAAGCCTCGAGCAGGCTGTCCAAATAAGCTTCAGAAAAAATTTTGGCCTGAGAGGCGACAAAGGGTTGCAGATTGAGCATGATGTTACTGAGGATGTTCAGCAGCTCAGCCTCATCCTGAAGTCCAGACCACAGCTTTGACAGGGTCTTGAACAGTGGCTGAAAGGCAATATGGGAAACATGAGGCTGTAGACATAACAAAAGCTAAAGTACATTTTATCAAAGATGCAGTACAATGCTTTCCCCCCTGCTTCCAGTCTTTTTACTAAGCTAACCACACATTGACTCCAACTCTGTACTTAACACACAGAAACTTCACAGACATGAGATTGATACCCATCTCCTGATCTCACTCTGAGAAAGAAAGCAAATATGTTCCACCCAGCGGGTGCTGTTGATCCAGTATATTTCGGCTTCATTTTTGTACAGTGGGAGGATGAGGAGATGTGACTTACATCTTTTATATGTTGATGCTATGTACAGTATATGTTGCAATTATCTTTTAACCATCTTCAAAATGTGTCTTTTAAACATAGATTAGCCTAGCACATAGCATATCTAAGTACAGGACAGGAGGAAGCTGAGTTCTGATCAAGGCTTGCTCAACTGTTATTGGTGTAGCACAGCGTCGAAGTCTCTGTGGTTTTTTGGGGGCCAGTATAAGGGATTTGTTTTGTTTTACATCAGAAATTGCAGCTCTCCAGGATTTGTATGTCTTTAAGACATGTTTGTAATTTAGATAATTGTTTATTTCATCGGGCTTGAGTTCGATAGATATAACTGCGTTTCTTGCAGTAGAGTATGGAAGTTAATGGAGTGATTGCTTCTGAATAATGTTGCTAAAGGAGCATATCGTAAGTAATGAGCATTGGTCAAGTACAGGAACCTTGTGGACTCCATGAGATAACTGTAGTATGTTATTTGAAGATCTATGGCGGGTTACATGGAACAACTGTGACAATCTGATAAATGGACCTGAACCATTGCTGTAAGTGTGCGTGTGTTCCTTTAATGCCAATTTGTTGCTCAGTGGTCCTGGTGGTAAAAAGATATTATGGTCATGGTGTCAAATTGCAGTCACTAAGATCTAATATACACGGAGTATGCTATGAGATCAAGGGTCTTCTCATTTGTCAGTAGGTCATCCGGGGGGTTCGTTAGTGATCTGTGGGTACAGAGCGTGTCTTTGTGTGCTGTGGATGAACTCTAAATCCTGACTAAAAATCCTCAATAAATTGTATTGCTATGTATAGAAGTTCCACAACTGTTTGGCGACTATTTTTCTAGAATCTTTAGAGGTGAGGAAGGGGAGGTTGAATCGGTCCTTATAGTTGGCTAAAACCCCTGGGTTCGGAGAGTGGGCTTTTTTAGAAGGGGTTGTAATTACAGCTACTTTAAAGGACTGTGGTTAGCATATCGCTGTGATAATAAAGAAGGATTAATTCATAGTCCAGTAAAGAAGGTCCAATTAAGGTGTACATTCTTAAGCAGCCTAGTTGGGATTGGATCTTAACAGACAGGTTGATGGCTTTGATGTAGTAAATTTATTGAAGGTTAACTGATGAAGACTGAATACAGAAAATCTTAATTGTTATTCTGTGT